GTAAGGCAACTCATTCATCAGATTAGTCATTCTTGTGCTTCCAATTTAATATAAGTGCTTATTTGCACAATTGTGGGCCTTATTTAGATGTCTCATTTGGCTTAAGGAAGTGTTATCAGATGGTTACTTTTTGCAGGTATGATAAGTATTATCAAACCCCTCGTGTGTGGCTCACTGGATATGATGAGGTCAGTCATAATAAACTGCTGTTATTTTAATTAATTGTTGGTTTTCATACTACAACAACAGCTATGCCTCAATCTCAAATTAGTTGGATCAGCTATATGAATTCTCAATATCTTCTCATTTGATTCCTGTGCTCAACAATTTTTTTAAGACAAATTTGCATATATATATATATATATACATATATATATATATATGTATATATATATATAAAATCAGCAAATTAGTGGTTCCTAGAATAGAAAGTCCCATGAGTTTCCTTTCTTTTTTATATCACTTTTTTATATATGCTTGATGTACTCAGATTTTCCTCCAATTGTTTTTTCTCCATTATTTATCAGTAACTTCAGAAACTAATGCAAACGCATGATCCAATCTAACTGAAATCTGCTCTGATTATGTAAAATATAGCCCATGTCAATTTCTCTGCAGATTTTTCTATTTCAAAATGATTGTTTATCCTGATTTTTGCTATTCACAAAAGAAGTTAAAATTTGCAGCAATATCTAATGCAGTGTATTAGATTATCTAATTCATCTTATCCTCCCCAGACCCCACATGTGGGAATTCACTGGGTTTGTTGTTGTTGTAATATCTAATGCAGTGTATCGCAGTGTATCATCTTTGAGTTTACTGGTTCTGATAAACTGAATTTACTGGAGTTCCTGAAATCCGACTTATCTTTTATTTTATTTTTATCATGCCGTGCTTATATTTCTTTTATCTGCAGAACTATGCAGTGTTCCTTTGCGATGAAATATAGCTTACCTATTTTAATGATTGATTTCTTTTGCCTATTTCCAAGTACTGCTTGAAGCACCGTATTCATACTTAACAATTCAGTTAACGCTGAATCAGTGTGGTTCCCTTATTGAAAGCCACATAAGCTATATTCTGGTCTTTCAAAACATCATTATACAGGAGATAATGTATGTTCCTCTGAAGAAATAAGATTCCCTTTGTTAGACATGCATCATGGTCCTCTCTGCAGAACTTTATAATTGTTTGAAAACTGATCAACTATGAAAACTTTTGGGCCTTTGGCATTTCATGAGGCCTAAGTTTTTGTTTGACGCATAGTAAATGAGTGCTGCTCTTGTTTTTATATGGCAGTCAAGGATGCTTCTGCAACCAGAACTTGTACTTGAAGATGTCAGTCAAGACCATGCACGTAAAACGGTGAGCAACATGTTTTAGGTCTGGATGTTATTTATGGACAAGCTTCAGTTAAATTTTTGAGACATTAGCTCTTTTCTTTCTTTAAAGCTACTGCTGTTGAGTTAGAGACTCACTGCAATACAAGCAGGTGCATTGTTGCTTGAATCTAGTTCCACTACAATTTCTGATCAAGTTGGAAAAATAGTGTTGTTTCCCGGCGGAGTCTGGTTTTAAGCGCGTGTATTTTTACCCTATTTCTTTTTTAAGTTCTTATGCATTTTGTGAGTTTGTCCAGGTATTTTTACCTTTAAGAAAAAGTCTGTGAATTCCTCATTGGGAAGTCTGTCACTTTACTTTTAGTTGTTGGTTGTCAATATTGTTATACAGGTAACCGTTGAAGACCATCCACATCTACCAGGAAAACATGCTTCGGTACATCCATGTCGACATGGGGCTGTCATGAAAAAGATCATTGATGTTCTGATGTCACGGGGAGTTGAACCAGAAGTTGACAAGTACAGTAGATTCTAACTTTAGGTCATTTACCTATGTTTTTCAGCCAGTAATAGACATGCTCACATAATATGCATGGTACAAGATGATCTAATTTGGTCACTGGAAGATCAGTAGTACATAACATATGTGGATACATGCAAATGCTTGTGCACATCATGGCAATACTGGTTATGTTAGTCATTCACACTGAAATGAGCTTTGAGCTGCAGCTATAAACCGCGTGGGGATTTTAGCTTAAATTTTCCCATAAGCTTTTTCACGAGCAGTGATGGTTTCCCTCATGAAAGTTTAGGAATCAATTGTGTCTTTGCTAGAAGCTATATAGCAACCTCGCGTCATGTTCTCGGATTCTTCTTCATATCTCATTGGTGGCTGCTGGAAGGGATCATGCAGCTGCAGGAGCATCTTGTAGCCACAGTAGTCTTATACATGCTGTTTCGTTTGAATAAATTGGACACATACAAATCTTCAGCCCCATTAGATTTTTCATTTAAAAAGTAAAGCATTATGATACAGAAATTCGTTTTACTAGATTAAAAATAGGCGTAAAAATAATTCATTTGAATTTTTTGTATATTTGCATGAGGTTTTATGATAAAAGTTTTTATCTCTTCTCTGGAACATTGATCTTAAGCACCCCAATTGACAGGTACCTTTTCCTATTCTTGAAATTTATGGCTTCCGTCATTCCGACAATTGAATATGATTACACCATGGACTTTGATCTTGGTAGCAGCAGCAACTGAATTAAGAGGTAAACTTCCTTATTTGACGTCTATAGTTCTGTGAGTTATTTCAAGCTTAGACTATATGCTAACCATAAATCAGAAATGACCTCCATTAGATAAATTTTTAGGTGACCTTGTAAGGCTTTTGATGTCGTTGGTTTTTTTTTTTTTTTTTTTTTTTGCTGTTTGCTGTACCCAAAAAAGAGGTCTTTCTGCTTCGGCTTGTGTCTGCATTCTAAAGCCAGGGGCATAAGAGACCCCAACTGCATTCCAAAATTGTATGCTTTATCATTTTCAGATACTAAGAGTGAATGGGGCATGGTGTCGTTTTTCTTTTCTTTTTTCGGGTTTTTCAGTATTTTGGTATGGTGATGATTTTGAATGTTCCTACTTCAATCTCTTTCCTTTTTCCCACCTCTTTTCAGATGAATATGTTGCACATACAATGTCATGCCAGAGACCCTAGCGATGATGCGTCTCTTCATTTCATCCAACCTGTGATCAGTGTTGCTTGTACAGTTTGTACATAGCATTAACAGCTCTAATTCTGAAATATGTGGTGCATATGCTTATCATCAGCTTCCCTTGTTTATTTTACGTTTAATAAGACGAATTTGATGTTAATTTTGAATATAAATTTGCACGATTAACTTAAAGGTTGAAACTTTTGTTATTAGTTTTTATTAAGGTAACTGAACGAAAACAACAGAAGTCGTGATTAACTGAAATTGCTCTAAAGGGACGGTCTCTGTTTCCTACATCGATTCTTTTTCTATTTTCCCCCTTCTTTTGGTACTTAAAGTTTAGATGAGGAGAAGTTACATTAAATAACAGAGGTCAGGGCATTCTACTAACCAAATAAAGGACTGACATTGTCACCAACTCACCGTCATCACCAGCAATAATAGAACCTAAAATCGTTTTGACTTTTTTTTTATAGAAGTTCTCGAAAATTTTTCATAGAAGTTTAGCCATGCTTAAATGTAAAAACAGGTGAAAATCAATCAACAAATATACTACGGAGAATAAGACAAGAACCCAAATTGATGTTTTTCCTTTAAAAAAATAAATAATAATAATGATATTATTATTTCGGACCAAGTTTTCGAAACAGCACCTTTCTTTGGATTGTTTTCCAAAATCTTCTTTTTCCCAAGATGTAATTTTCCAACCAATGAGCTTCCACAATCTGTTTTCTTCTTTATTATATGCTTCAACTGTTCAACATACAAGCATTATACGCCGATATACATATAGCTGATTCCTATACTTATTTCTTTTTTCTTTTTTTTCTCTCTGTAATTCTGTCCTGAAAAACTCAAGTATCCCTTCCATTAGGGGAAAATATCTCTGATTCAATATGAGGGTGATGTCAGTTGATATTCCTAATCAATTTTTTATTATAAAAAAGAATAGAATAATTAGCATGATAACAGTGTCGATCTTAGATGACTGTCACGTGGTGCTCGTTCTTATCCCCTCATACGTGAATCATCATCCATTCTTAAATAAATTATATTCAGATTGAGTAGGTGAACACTTAAACAGTCTTTAAGCATGGTCCAAATAAATCTGCCAATGCCCATGTGTGACAGCAATAAACTAGAAAATTTGCCAAGTTGATGAATAACATTATCATCTCATGCCTCTCGTGGCATATTCTTTAAACCTGCAGTAGAGACGAGACCCTCCCGAATAGCCTAATTTTCAGAAAGTAATGTAGACATTAGATTATACACCCATATATATTTACTGGTTATAATTATTATTGTCGTTGCTCATTATGTGTATTTATTATTTTAGGGCTCTGGTCCCATTAGCTTTTTTTTTCTTAGCAAATACAATATCCAGTTCTGCGCTCCACGTTCCCAACAAATAGATTAAAGAAAATAATTATATCAAATGGGAAAACAAAAGGCATATATAGGTAACCGATAAACCCGGAGAAAAAGAAAACCAATGAACTGTTTATTAACTGGTACAGTACAATGATAATCTTCTAATAATAAATGTGAATTTAATTGTTGAAATTGGAGAATAGCTTGAATATCTGAAGTCAATGAAAAAGAAGAACAAAAATATTAGAGAAAGATAGAGAAGAGTGGATTCCGGATCGACCATTTACATATATTATTTTCTTTTTAATAAAAGAAATGATATAAATAAAAAGAAGAGAAAAGCAATTTAACTTTATTTTAAAAGTTGTTGACTCAAATAGCTGGCCTGATCAATATTTACTTTCCCTAGCTTGTATACATAATATATGAATTATACAAAATTATACACGAATATTATATATATGTTGCTGCCATTTTTAGTTTAAGAGATTATGCGTGCGACTATTTGAGTTAATTAATGAAGGGGGTGTGGTGCGCCTACAGATCAGTAATGACTGGGCCCAATATTTCCTTTATAATGAAGGGTGCTAGTTTAATTAGACGAAGCCAAGTTTGGAAAATCTCAAAAGAAAGAAAGAAATGATGACGAATCGCCACTTCCTCTTTGCTGTTGTTTTCACTTTTTTTCTTTCAGCTGTTGCAGCTGATTCTTCTGTAAGTCCGTTATGTATTTCTTGATTTCACTATACTTTATGCTTTTAGCTTGATTCCAGCTGAAGTCTTAAAGATCAACCTGATCCAACTTTAGGATTGAGTTTCATTAATTTTATGTTGACCGTAATTCGTCAAACTCTACTATGATTACAGATCATATGTTGCTTTTGTAATTATTACTACTAATTTATTGCATCATCCAGGTTCCAGTATAATGTGATTATGCTTTATTATATATGATGATTATGTCCCTTTTTGCTTGCCTTGCTCGTCATTTTTAAATCAACACACTCATATAACCTTTCGAACCAGTACTTATTTACCTGCTTCTTTTCATTCTCTAGTGAAGCATATGCTTGAAAATGCGGATCCAGGATTTTAAGTTTATGGGTTCCTGTCGCAATTTCAAATTAATATACAATAATAACTGGGTTCACAAATAGATATTTATAGATATTTAATAATTTTTTTAACAAAAATACAGGGTCTACGCAAAAGTTACTGGGTTCCCGGGAACCCGTATCTTACACCCTAGATCAGCCCCTGCTTGAGATCTGAATATGTACATTCATAAACAACATCCTGTAAAGATATTCTTTTTATTAACTGTGATAGTCATAGAGGAAAATGTTAACGTTATAATTGAAAACTTAGTTTGACAAAGGAACGTCACATCAAAGTATTTGATTAGCTTGACGGATTTCATTCTTAGAAGAGGAGGAACGAGAATTTGTACTTTACTCCTCCTTGTCAATAGGAACTTTCTATGCCATGACTTTAGGTTACGTTTGTAATAACTATAAGTTACAATCAGGTCACTTGTAAGATAATTCTAGGTAGATTTTATGATAAAAATGGTAATTAACCTGCAATAACATAGTAGTATTAAATATACTGATACTCAGTGTATATTATACTTAAACTTTGGCAATCTTCGGAAGATGATGTCTTACGGATATTTTGGTGATGCAGGAAGACTGTGTATACACATTGTATGTTAAAACTGGATCAATCATAAAGGGAGGAACAGACTCCAAAATCAGCGTTACACTTGGCGATGCTAAAGGAAAATCAGTAGTATATATTCCAGATCTAGAGAAATGGGGTTTAATGGGCCCAAATTATGATTACTACGAAAGGGGTAATATGGACATCTTCACTGGTAGAGGCCAATGTTTGAGCCCACCAATTTGCAGGCTTAATGTTACTTCTGATGGATCAGGTGAGCACCACGGTTGGTTCTTGGATTTTGTTGAGACTACTTTTACTGGGCCACACAAAACTTGTAGCCAATCCATATTCTATGTCGAACAATGGTTGGCTTCTGATGCACCTCCTTATGAGTTATCAGTTTCTCTTGATGGTTGTAAAAAGAAGACTGGGCTTGGACAACATGCTCGGCGTTTTGTTGTGGGCAAGCCCAATGGGTCTGCTTCAGAATAGTTTGGCCCATTGGAGTTCATTTTGTCGCTGAGATGTTTTTCATGTGTAGACATGTCCACGCGTTGTCTTGTGTTTCCCCTCCTCTTTGGTTGAAATAAATTTCTTGTTTGGGGCTTCCTTTCTTGTTTGTTTACTTGGCGTATCTTTCACTTATTGCAATCTTTTATGTACTTAACAAGGGGTTTAAAGCTCTGGTAAGTTAAAAGATTAACGTAGCATAATCCTATAACTACGGTGGAGCCATGATTTTCTTAAAATATAAAGAAGTAAGTACACGAATAGTTCACAAAAATACTATTCTACGAATGAGCACAATGTTATTACATTATCAGAATTGTACTAAACGAGGTTTCATTTCTTGAAATATTTTGAACAATAGCATCTTTTTCTACATAAGGCAGCGTGCAATTGCTCAAAAATTCGTCATTGATTCGACTTTGCACTGCTATATTGGAAAAGCTCTTTCATTTTTTTTTTCTTTCTGTCCTATCTATTTATGCTCAATTAGTTTATATTCTTATGTATATTTGTTAGTATTCTAAAAAGGGACAAAATATCTTTTGCTGGACAAATTATTGAATTGCAAAGAAGGTAGGTTCTTATCAAACAGAGTGATACAAGAAATAGTGTTTATAACGAAGAAATGATGAAGCTACCGACTTGAATGGATAAAAGACAGTCTTTATAATTTACTTACATAAATGTCCCAAATAAATCTCAACTTACCAACCTCTAGCCATTAGTCATAGACTTACCAAAACTAGCCAACAAAAATTGAAAAACCAAATAATAGGGTTCTTTCTCTCAAAGAATCACATGCAAAAATCACCTTCCATATTTTTAAGCGTGATTAGCAACATTAGATACAAGACGGAAAGGAAATTTCATGGACGGAGTAGCAAATAAGGTGATCAAATACAAAAATCTATACAATATTCCAAAAATCTAAACAAAAAAGGAACTTTTTCAATGGGTATAGTTGAAATTCATTGAAAATATATAAATAAGTCAATATACAAAATTTGAGGAAGATTGGAGGTGATTTGGGCTAGTTTTGCATCAAAATTCGTAATTAAATCGAGTTCAAAAAAAGTCTTCTGCGACACATGTATCAAACATGAATCACGCATGTATCTCACACACAGGTATACATGGATGTACATATGATACACAAATGATACATATGTGATACACAAATGATACACAGTGTGATACACATATCATTTTTTTTTCATGTTCAGCTTTTACTTCGAATTTTCAATTCAAACCACCTCAAAACTTCACCAAATCATCCCAAAACTGAGATTCAAGCTCCTTAAGTTGTGCCCAATCTATTATAATAACACCCATTCAAAACAAAGCAAAAATGTGATATTTTTTGCTACAAATAGCTAATTGGCTAATTTGGCTAATATTAGTAATATTTTATCAATTGGCCAATTTTGTAGTGAGCTACTTATAAATGGACATAGCTGGTAATTTCCCTATAATTTATGCTTGACATTTGTGTGTCTTGTGGATCTATAAGACATTAGTTCAAAATTTCTCCTCAAAATCTTTTTCGCTACAAGTCTTTTCTTTTACTAATACTAGTATTAGTACCCGCGCGATGCGCGGACAAACCATTTCAAATTGCGAAAGGTTGTTTGAATCATGTACAAATAACCTTAAAATATAAGCCTCTCAGATAAAAATTATATAACATGAGAATTTAATTATGAAGTAGGATATGAATTCTCGTAGTAGACAACCAATCTTTTTAATATATATTTGTAGCAACCTAACCCCTTTATTTTAGTACTTGTATTTTGTTCCGCCATCGATATTAAAGAATACTGCATATCATATTGTGATCTGTCTTGTTCGAGCACATTAGACCATATTACTTTAACAAAATTCTTACTATCACTTTATTTTTATCTGGAAGTCAAATATGTCTTATTTTATCACATCATTTTTACGTAAATTCTTTTTTTTTTTGTTCTTTTCTTATAGTTATTGTATTATTTAATATTTAATATTATTATACTATCATATAACTTTTTATTAGCTTATAATTAAATTAATGTCTTGCTTATTATTCTTTTAATAGTATTTAATAAAAATAAATATTTTATTCTTGAAATTTGATATATTTGTATGCTTTTATCCTCTTATTCATAATATTTTAATCATTTAAATTTATCAGTAATATTTTAAATATAAATTAATTATTTTATTTTCTCTATTTTAAATTAATTTAAAGTATAAGTATCCTCACACTACCTCTATTTTTTTTAATACATTCTCTTCCCTACGTAATATTTGCAAAAACAAAAAAAATACTTATCTCAAATTCAAATAATTCTTATCATTCTATTTTCTAAATTGGACTGTATTTTCAAAAAATTATGCTATGATTTCAAACTCAAACTAACTGCACTCAATTCAGATTTTAATCATAGAATTATTTTTTCTTAATTGTTTGAACATATTATATCTAATGTTATAGTAATATTTTCACTGCATTATATTTCTTTACGTAAATTTTCTTTCTTTTTTAGTTTTGAGATACAAATATAATTTTTGTACAATTACCTATATTAGAAATTATTTTGTAATTAAAATTTTTTTTTATTGTTTTATTTTTCATAAACAAGACTTCAATTTCGCGGTATTATCCGTAATTTGAGCATTCACATCATCGTTTTAAGAACTTTCTAATCTCAAATTTAAATATTCTTTTCTTTTCATTTCTAATGTAAACTTTCTCNTGTGAATTTTCATTAACTTGTAACTTTATTTAATATCATTATCAACTACTTTTCTTTACTAATATAAGATAAATATATAATTTTTTAATTATAAATAAATATTTATTTTGTTTTAAAACGATTGCTCAAAAATTTTAAATTATTTAAAATTTAATAATATTTTTAAGTATTGTATATTTCCTTTATATTATTTTCTAAACTTATGATTTATAAATGTCCTTAAATCTCTAATTTATTTTTATTGTTCAATATTTTTAGTTTTTGATTTTACTATTAGACTTGAGTTATGTGGACTTATTGTGACGACCCAAAGGGGTTATCACCTGTATTCCTACTCACTCTGTATTTCTGAGACCGTGAGAACCTCACTTGGGGGTTGCCTCGAATTTGTGTGTGAAGTCCGGGCGCGTAGCCGGAACGTTTAAATATGAATTTGCGAGAAAGATAATAAAATTTTGATGTTTTAATTGATTAAGTTTGACTTCGGTCAACGTTTTGAGCAAACGGACCCGGACTCGTGATTCGACAGTCCCGGAGGGTACGTAGGACAATATGGGACTTGGGGGTGTGCCCGGAATCAAATTCCGAGGTCCCGAGTCCGAGGGATGAATTTTTACGTGAAATTATTTTTCTGAAAATAATTAAAGAATTGGAAAGTGTTATTTGTTTAGAAGACTGTGCTGTTGGGCTCGTATTTTGGTTCCGACGCCCGGCACAAGTCTTAAATATGAGTTAAGCAATTGCTGTGAAGTTTGGTTAGATTTGGACGTCATTTGACGCGTTTTGAGCTAGAAGCAGTAAAATTTTATGTTTCATGGAAATTGGAAGGAAATCATGGGTCTTGAGGCCTAATTTGATGTTGTTTTGGCGATTTGATCGCACGGAGGAGTCCGTAGGATATTTTTGGAGTTATGTGCATGTTTGGTTTGGAGCCCCGAGGGCTCAGGTGAGTTTTGAGTGGGTCCCGGGAGGGTCTTAGGCTTAAAAGTATCAGAAACTTGCAGGTCCAGGTGTTGCAGGCCCCCAGCGCGGCCGCGGTCATATTTGCGCGGTCCGCTCTGGAAGCCGCGCGGCCGTGGTGCATTTTTGCGCGGTCCGCGTGGCTAGGTTCAGAGGGCCAGTGGATTCCTGGTCAACCAGCGCGGCCGCGCACCAAATTAGTGCGGTCCGCGCTGGGTAGGTTCAGAGAGTCATTTTTCTTCCCTTCCTCGGCGCGGCCGCGGTGCATTCTTGTGCGGTCGGCGCCAGCCTTCAGTAAAGTATATAAAGTCGGGATTTTCAGTCATTTTTCACTTTTTCAAAACCCAAAACATAAGGGGCGATTTTCCAAACGATTCTTCTTCTTCTTCAAAACGATTGGTAAGTGATTCCTAACTTATTTTCTTTACTCCTTAACATCTTTAAACATAATTTCAACTTCAAAACCAAGATTTTAATGGGGAAATTTGGGAATTTAGGGTAGAACTAGGGTTTCTAAATTTGGGGGTTTTGGACCTCAATTCGTGGTCCGATTCCAAAATAACTTACATATTTTAGTTCATGGGGGAATGGGTAATCGGGTTTTGGTTCGAACCTCGGGTTTTGACCACGTGGGCCCGGGGGCGTTTTGGAAAATTTTGAGTAAAACTTTGGGAAATTTACTTTTCATGCATTCAAATTTATTAGATTAGCATTTGTTGAAACACTCAAGTATTCGTGACTAGATTCGAGCGGTTTGGTGGTGAATTCGAAGGGTAAAGCGATACTAGAGGCTTGAGTTGAGTTTGGAGCGTTTGAGGTAAGTGTTTGATCTAACTTTGGTTTGAGGGAATAGGATTAGAGTATTATTTGCTAATTGCTAAATGTTGAGTACGGTGTATAGGCATGGTGACGAGTATCTATACACCGGTGTCTAGCATGACCGTGAGTCCTTGCTTGTGCTTATTTGGGATCTTGTAGTGACCCTTCCTTGTTTAATTGATGGACTCGATATAATGTGAACAACACGAAGAGAAAATATGATTTGTAAACTCCTTGGAGCGTTGGCTCGAAATATGACACGATTAAGACATAAGAAATGAACGAAAGAGGAAGAGATGTAATTACTCCCTTGCCGGGACGTGTAAGTTATTGTTATTGCTCCCTTGCCGGGAATTAACTGTTTATTTGTATTCTCCCTTGCCGGGATGGTTGAATTGATACTTGTTCCCTTGCCGGGAAATCCTTATATATTATGAAATGGGATCGTGTGGCACGCCGACCACTTATATATTATGAAATGGGATCGTGTGGCACGCCGACCACTTATATATTAGGAAATGGGATCGTGTGGCACGCCGACCACTTATGTATTATGAAATGGGATCGTGTGGCACGCCGACCACTT